ACCTTAAAAAATTATCTTATAAAAATATATTTTTTAAAATTTAAAAAACAAACAGATTAAATAGATAACATGTGAACCCACATGTTGACTCATATTTGGCACGTGAACAAATCATGAGACTCACATTTTACAAATTGACTTAGTGCCAAATTATTGTGTCGGGTGCAATTTTGTTACTTCTAGTTATCAGGTTGAGATTCCACGGCTAAACGTACTCTTGGTCTCTTACCGAATAACGCAAAATAGTAGCAAGGCTATCACTTTGTATTCTATCTGCCAGTTCAATTTATTACCAGGATGCCACAGACGATGAAAGAGCAGTAAATAAGTTTTTACACATAAATATTGTACCAAAGCCCAAATGACAAACTAAATGCTTTCATGGCAAACAATGCCCAAACCAAAACTAAATATTTTCCAACAAACTGATGTGAAAACCATGTATTACAATCATGTGTTCCAAAAATGCCAATGGGTGTATAAGTTAAACATTACATACCCGTAAGTATATCAAAAGTACCAATGCCAAGCACCTGTGGCATCGGCACCCTACCTCTCCTTAAGACATCAATAAATTGTTAACGCGGCAACTTCATTTAAGATGCCTGTGTGTTGCAACTTTAACACCCGTTCATAAGGAGAGTCCGGTGGACATACCTGTCAGAGTGAATTAGCCATTCATTAAACATCCCATTAGAGATTGTATTTATCAAAAAAAACTATAAATTTAATTTCTCACCTCTAACAACAAAACCTTTTTATGCACTGGCACTTGAAGGAATGTCCATGACTTTTCCCACTGCAACTGTTTTTCCTGTAGACACAGTAATCCAAATTACAAACTGCATGCCCACGGTAATTCATGAATAATGAAAATGCAGTCACCTTCAGTTCGAAGAGTAAACCTTCCAAGTTGTGCAAAATCTGGGAATCTCTCATACACAAATCAAGTTGTTCCCCTGAGACAATATTGCCAAAAGGACATAATTCATGAACCAAATTCAAACACAGAGAAATGTTTCAAATATAATTGAGCTACTCTACTTCAAAGCAAAACTTCTTTCCCCTTTAAAAATAAACTGCCAGTGAAAACCCTTTGACAAAATGAAATATTGGTTGGAGATTCCAACCACTTCAGACCTTTGAAAGCTTGGAAGGTGCATAAATAACAGAGCAATGCTACAGATTTCATATACATAGAAATTCTAGCAGTCCCACAATTATCAACCAGTCCCACAATTATCAACCAGGAGGATGATACCATGTTGAATGGAAAACATTCATAATTCTAGATAATTTCAAATGTCGGAGAATAGACACTTTGGAATTTCAAAAAGAGTGAAAAGGCAAGAAGAAAACCAGAATGCGGCAAACAACAACAGCACCATTCTTAACAAATAGAACTTTCATTTTCATGGGTTTCTTGTCTTGGGATCAATTTGTTACAGCAGTTAAACAATCTCACATTCCTCAACAACAGAATGAATGTGCAAGACAGCTTTATACCCAGCTGTAAATATTGCCTAAAATAGCAGAGACAGTCCAACACCATTAGATGCATTAGATGCAAGGTTAACCAAATTAACTATAAGATTAAAGATAAGAGAGGACTTTATAATGTGGATTCATTCATAAATTGTCAAGCAACTCAAGGATCTGCAGCTGGGCTGTAAATTCAGTGACTGTTGGTATTGGTTTTGCAGGGTAAAAAAGAGAAAAAAAAAAAGGGGGGATATAATTCAGCAAGACTTAAAACAAAATCACAAATAACACTTCAGAATCAAAATTAGAAAATAAGTATAGAAAGGGATGGTGAGGCCAAGATGTCCCAGCATTGCTATCAAAAACTGCAAAAGAATGGAAATATTTCTGCAAACAAATTTGTAAATTATCCTACCATTTACCTTTTAACTCCGCTTTCTATAATCTAATTTCCTTTTTAGGGGATCAAACATGAGAACGTTCAGTTTTTATAATCTTTAAAGTTTAAAGCACTTACCAACACTACACAAGACAAAACCAGATAATACGTCCTCTTCTTCAATTCCAGATAACTTAACCTGCAGATTTTCACCAGGTCCAGCACGTATAGCCTTATCTTCATCACAGTAAATGGCAAGAACTTTCACTTGAGCCTGCCATCCATGCATCTTGGAGTTCAGAATTGAAGTTAAACAATAAATAAACAAATAAAGAAATTAGGTGAAAGACTAAGCACCTTGTTTGGCATGACCAATAAGGAATCACCCTCACACATGGTACCAGATTCAACCTTTCCCATTACGACAGTTCCCATGTCTTTAAATTTGTCAATTATAGGCATCCTGTATATTTAGAAAACACATAGTTAATAGATGTGAGATCAAAGATTGATACAGCCTTGATAATTCAGAATCTACATTGAGTAACTTTAATTTTAGCAATTTAGGGTTCTATTTTATTATACATAAGTTTTTCTATGTTCAGGGGCAGACTTAATATAATTTCAGTTTCATGATTTGGGCTTTCTTTTTAAAATATAATTTGGGCATATTTTGGTCAATCTAGGATCTTGAGGAGTTAGATTTTTTAGGTCTTATTTTCTAAGAATCCTACCCGGTTGTTTACATCTTATGTTTGGAATCAAAGACATAGGGACTCAAGAAATAGTCAGAGTCCTTATAAATCACTATGTAGCCTTTTCTATAACAAAAAGAAAAAGGGTATAGTTATACAATTATATTTTCTTCCTAGAGTTGTATGATTTCCTACAGTCATAAATCATACCTAGAAGGACCTTTTAGATCTCTAGGAGCAATTTCGACTGCATCAAGAACTTCAAAGAGGCAGGGCCATTCCACCAGGGGCATATGCTCTTGTCCAGTCTCGTTTTCATGTTGGAACCAAGAAGACCAGATATAGGTAGAAACTGGACATCTACAGGTTCAGAATAAGATCAAAAACACAATCAATATACAGAATTAATTGCTTTGCTTTTATTGAAAAGATACCAATGACCCACAATTTTAATTCAATCAATCACCATTTCCCTATATATATATAAGAGATATTCAAGAAGCAATATATCAATTACCTTTTTTCACATTGTAGCCTGAAGACAATGTGAAATGATTTGTTTTTATTATATATAAAACAAAGTTGCCAAATTGAAAAAGTTGAAACTTTAAACAAACTAAAAACACCTTTCCATAAAATAATATATAATATCCAAGAAAGAAAGCTTGAAACTTCTCAAAAGTATGTAGATACTAAATAGAAACAGGAAACCATAAGTTCTTTTTTTTTTTTCACTACCATAAGATTTTAACGTAGGGAATACAATATGTTCTAGGAAACAATTAACACAGTCAACTCCACAATGGATCTTAGAAAATGCCAAACCATTAAATTATTTCTATGTGGCATCTAGTCAACCAATCCCTGAACTCAGACTAAAAACCTAATAAACAACAATGTGAAACACATTTCTCCCTTTTATTTGGCCTTTGAACATTCCAGTTGATAAAGAATAATAAAGGACATAAAAATGAAAAACCCCCCACTTTTAATTTAAACAATAAGTAGAAAAACCTACCAACATTACCAATGAACACAACATTCAAGTGGCGTTTCTTATTTTCGTCCACCTCATCAAGAACTTCAGCATCTTCAAGAGCTGGTGCTTCCTCATCTTTCACTGCACATCCAAACCAAAACATAAGAACGAGACAATGATAATTGGATTGTGTAGAAAATAGAATACATATTACCACAGTTTGCAGTGTTTATGTATTTTGGAAGAGGAGGAAGGGAAGGAACCTTTGGTTCAACCTTGACTTGCTGAGAGACTGTACTATCCTTTGTCCCTGAAAAGGAAAGAAAAAGAGTAGAATGAAATAAAGGGAAAAAAGCACCACCAATATGCATTTTTAGTTAAAAAAAAAAAAAAAAACCTATCAAGAATGAGCAAAATAAAATAGAAAAATAAAATAGGTACAAATATCTAAATGGTTAAAATTTATCGTAGCTATGATGATGGAAGCAGCAAAACAAAGTTTCACTCTTAAATCTTATTTCAGGCAGAAGCCAGAAGCACCATATCTATATCATATGCAGTCGGTAAACAAGCACTGGCAGTGATCGCAATGGTGATGAATGAGCTGCCACCACTTGGGCACCAATAGATAATCTTAGAAGGAAATTAGTAGACTAATATTGTAAAACCACAAAGACTTAGATTAGTTCTTGTCAAAAAAGAATTACCACATCAACCTAATTCAAATAGATACCACCAGAACAAACTAATTAGCACCTTGCACCTTCCCTGAAAACCATTTGCCCCCTGTGCATGAAGGGCCGTAAGGTGACTTCTTTTGGTCGTCTCATCAATAACAAATTCTACTCTTGGGACAATCAAATTAGTACCTGAACCAATTCCAGAGCTGACCTATTTATCAGCATAAATGGCATTGGACAAGCAGTAAATACATAGAAATAATATAATCACAAAAAACGATAATGTAAAACAAATAAATAGTTCATGCTGAAATGCATCATCTCTCAGCTAGCTAACCCAATCCGTGATACAAAAATCAATCCAAAGATACTGTTTTGGTAAAGACTCTAGGCAAGATGCTGCCCCTTTCAAACTAGCCTAAAGAATACCAATAGCTTTCTTCCTTTCTTTTTTTTTTTTTTTTTTTTTTTGGCCAAAAATAACTTTCTCATCCTTAAATATACATCTTTGCGAAAAAAAAAGAATTTTGTATCTGAAAAATGAATTTCAGTCCAAAGAATGCCGGGACCCATAACATCGCGAAACGAAAGGACATCGGGTTAAAAAATTAAGATGAAATCAAATGGGTCAATGTAAACGAACCTGAGAAAGACACAGAAGACCGGCTACTCAAGAAAGGACATCGGACTAATCGCCGGCAGGATCGCAAATGCAGGGCGAACTTGAGATTGGAAGCTTCAGATTTGGGGAGAAAAAGTTACAAATTTCGTCTTTTTTTATTAAATTTAATTTAAAGATGGTATCTTTTTAATTTTTTAAATGAAATATAAATTTTTTATTTTAGTTTATTTAAAAATATAAATTTTATTTGTTATTTAAAAATATAGATTTTATTTATTTTATTTAAAAATATTATTTGTCACGTTATAT